CGATTTTTCCTATTTTTCCTATTGACTAATTCTGATTTTCTCCTTTTGGAAATTATATTGTCCTTTCCTTTGTCAGCAGGGAGAAACTTGCCTCCCACTCTTCTTAATATACTGTATTTACTGAATAGACCAACCCTCCATGCCAGGCTGCTCCTGCCACACGAACACCCTCACATGAACACTCCTCCTCTCTGCTCAGGCTCTAACACTTCAAACAAGCCCGCCCCATGTGTGGATGCCCTCCTTGTCCTGCATGAGTGCTCTCCTCACTAATCAGGCTCTGACACACCATGGCAATGCCCTCTTCACCCATTGTGGCCTCTGACTTCCCACACTAGGCTGTACCACCCCATCATGGATGCCCTTTTCATTACATTTGGCTCTGCTTCCTCACTTGCATGGCTTCCTCCTCCCCCTACTATGGTGGTCTTACTTTACCCCACTTAATAGTTTTAAGATGAATTTTTTGGGTGACACAGAAAAGGAGGGGGAGGAGAAGGTGCAGTACTTTTTAAAAAGGTCTCTGGCTGTTCTATGGAGAATAGACTAGAGGTGGGCAAAGAGTACAGCAGAGAAACCAGTTAGAAGGCATTTGCTTAGGTAAGAAATGATGGTGACATGGACTGGGATGGTAATCATGATATGGTGAAAAGTGGTCAGATTCTAAAGGCAGAACAGACAGGACTTGCTGATGGATTGGATGTAGGGTGTGAGAGAAAAAGGGTCAGCCGGGCATGATGGCTCATGCCTGTAATCCCAGCACTTTGGGAGGCCAAGGCGGGCGGATCACCTGAGGTCAGAATTTGAGACCAGCCTGGCCAACATGGTGAAACCCAGTCTCTACTAAAAATACAAAAATTAGCTGGGCATGATGGCAGGTGCCTGTAATCCCAGCTACTCGGGAGGCTGAGGCAGGAGAATCACTTGAACCTGGGAAGTGGAGGCTGCAGTGAGCCGAGATCATGCCATTGCACTCCAGCCTGGCGCACAAGAGAGACTTCGTCTCAAAAAAAAAAAAAAAAAAGAAAAATACAGGAAAAGATGGGTCAGTGACATTCCAGGGCTTTTGGCCTAAGTGACTGGTGCTAGTTACCTAGTTAGGGAAGATAAGAGGTGGATGCAGGGCACGAAGGAATCAGAAGTTTAGTTTTGGACATCTGAAGTCTGAAAATGACTGTTAGGCAATAAAGATGTTAAATTGGTGACATAGTTTGGATCTGTGCCCCCACCTAAATCTCATGTTGAATTGTAATCTCCAACATTAGAGGTGGGGTCTGGTGGGAGGTGATTGGACCATGAGGGTGGATTTCTCATGCATGGTTTAATACCCTCCCCTTGGTACTGTCCTCATGATAGGGAGTGATTTCTTGAGAGATCTGGCTGTTTAAAAGTGTGTGGCACCTCTCTCCTTTCTTTTTTTCTGCTTTCGCCATGTGATATGCCTGCTCCCCCTTCACCTTCTGCCATGATTCTAAGTTTCTTGAGACTTCCCCAAAAGCTAAGCAGATGCCAGCAACATGCTTCCTATGCAGCCTGCAAAACCGTGAGCCAATTAAACTTATTTTCTTTATAAATTCCCCAGTCTCAGGTGTTTCTTTATAGCAATGTGAGACTAGCCTAACACAATTGGATATTCAAGGTAAGAGCTCAAGGAAACTGAGAGCTGGAGATATAAATCCAGGGGTTCTTAATATTTAGATAATTTTTTAAGTGATGGGATTGGTTGATTTCACTGAAAGAGTGAGTATAGATGGAGAGAACATGTTCATCTAATTTTAGAGTTTAGAGAAAGGAGGGATAGGATCTAGTAAAGTAGACAGAGGAGGAAAATCTGAAGTGGACTGTCAGAAGCCCAGTGAAGAGAATGATTTAAGAAGACAGAGTAATATAATGGTGCTGACAGGTCAAGATGCAAGCACTAGTTTTGGCAATGTGGTGGATCTTAAAGGCAAGGATACCCTCTAAATGCAGCAAGCCAGGAAATCTACAGAAGTGGCCTGCCTGTACCACTTTGGCAAAGAAAACTAGGGAAGAGAGGGGAGAGAAGAGGAGGCTAGGGAAGAGAGAAGGAAGGCCAGTGGAGCTGTTGTTTGCACCTCCTTACACCCCACCAACTGCTCTGTCTGAAGGCTAAGGGCTGGACACCTCAATGCTGGCACTTGATTTCCCCAAGTGCCTTGGGCTTCTCTGACCGTCGTGATGGTGTTGTTTAGAGACACAGAAACCACTTAACCCATTGCTCTGAGAGAGTCATGTTCTATTCTTCCGGAAGCATGCTTACAACACCAACCTAATTTTTAAAAAGTCTTTCAGAGGCCCCTTTTTTAAGAAGCAAAAATAATGGAGCCACCTATGCAAAGAGTGGTCAGCTACCTTTTGGGAATTCCTATACACTTTCCTTGTTTGATTTTTGTGACTTTTCCAGAAAGAACTTTGAGGAAATATAGAAATAAATGAGAAGTAAATGGCGTTTTGTGAGTGACTTTCTCAACACGTCTTCTAAGATCAATGCAGATATCCCGAGGCACCTCACAGATGCGATAGGGAATCAGTGCTCCAGAGATCCAGAATCCTTCTTTTCTAGGCTGGTTGAGTAGAGCTCTTTGTCCATGTTATTGCAGAACCATTTTTGTAGCCATCCCCAGCAGTGCTGTCACCCAGAAGAAACTGGGGGGGAGCTTTTTACCCATACAGTATCCGAAATCTCCCCAGCAAATACAGCTTGAAGAAGTTCTAGGGCCAGGTGCAGTGGCTCATGCCTGTAATCCTAGCACTTTGGGAGGCTGAGGCAAGAGTATCGCTTGAGTCCAGGAGTTCAAGATCAGCGTGGGTAATACAGTAAGACCCTATCTCTTCAAAAAAATTTAAAAATTAGCCAGGCATGGTAGTACGTACCTATAGTCCCCGCTAATCTGCAGGCTGAGATGGAAGGATTGCTTGAACCCAGGTGGTCAAGGCTACAGTGAGTCAAGATCACACCACTGCACTCCAGTATGGGTGACAGGCGAAACCCCATCTCTTTAAAAAAAGAGAGAGGAAGGAAGGAAGGAAGGAGGGAGGGAGGGATGTTCTCAAGACAACCTTTTTCAACAGAGTGCTACCCTAAGTGCATGTGCTATGGGCTAAATTTTGTCTTGCCCCCAAATTCATATGTTGAAGCTGTAACCTCCAATACCTCAGAATGTGACTGTATATAGCGATAGGTCTTTAAGAAAGAAGACTAAATAAGATCATAAGGGTAGGTCCTAATCTAATATGGCTGGTGTCTTTTTAAGACGAGAGAGAGACACCAGGGATGCAGGCACATGGAGGAAAGACCATATGAGCACATAATAAAAAGGTAGTCATCTTCAAGCCAAGGAGAGGGGTTTCAGGAGAAACCAGACCTGCTGACATCTTGGACTTCTAGCCTCCAGACCTGTGAAAATGAAATGTCTATTGTGTAAGCCACCCAGTCTGTGGTATTTTGTTATGGCAGCCCTTGCAACAAATACAACCTCCTATAAGGAATTGATGGTGTGCCATTGCTGCCCCTGCATTTGTAACAGGAATGCAAGTGGGCAGCTCCTGCTCACAGCTCCTGACAAATGTGGAAACCAGACACATGCCCCACCTTCCCTTGGGTAGCATGTCTCTTCCCAAAGAATTTTAGATGAGTCAGGTGCAGTGACTATACCAAGGAAGAAGACACTATCTCTAGGAAGGACTGGGGTTCCAGGCTTTGAGCAAATCTCACTTCTTTATCCAAAATAGATATTCTTTTTATGCAGGTGAGATTACATTAAAGTCAATATCAGTCTTCATTAGGAGGAAATTGAATTAGGAGAATTAAGTCTTGAAGGAGAAAATTAAGCCAAAAAGAATAATATGGCAGATATTTGTAGAAAGGAACCTTTTTTACTATTGATTGTGATATTTGCTCTCAAGTGTTGTATCTAGAACAAATAACTGGTGGACTATTAGTCTGGTTGTTTTCCACAGAAGCTTTCTGTGATTTTTTGCAGCCTTAGTTCCTGACCTGAGCTACCTCCATGTCTACTTCTCTGCCTCACTGAGTTTGAAGAATCTGTTGTCTCCCATTACTTAGATATACTTTATTCATCTGAAGGGCCTAGGAAAGGGAGGCAAGTTTAACTGCAATCCAATTGCATCTAATTTACAAATCCTTGAAATAAAGGGCTCAAGAGGGTGATTGAACTGGAAACTGACTAAAGAAAATTTTGCACTTTCATTTATGTCCCTGTGTGCCTAAACAAAACAGCATCCCTCAATCCATGCTAACACATACATTTTCTAGGTGAATTGGAAAAAGTTATACTACTTGTTTCATCTAAATCTGTTTTAAAAAAAGGGAAAGCGTTGCGATTGTTAACTCCACGTTGAGATGTCAGGAATGGATCACTTACTACATAGTTTTAGGAGGACTGGACTGAAAGCCAGGGGATTTCCCTCCTAGTTCTTCTATCCTCTGGGGTTCAAACTAGTCTTTTGTCAAATGCCTACAAGATGAAATCCATGAATTCTTTCATTAAACAAATATCTTTTTGCCAAGCACGTTCAAGGCGTTGCTCTTTCCTGCTAAACTATTCTAGAATTTCCACTATTTTTTAGCAACACTTCAGAGTGTTTAGCCCCGAGTTGCACCCCATTTCAGTTTTTGCAACCCCATCCTCCAGAAGCTCTGGGGCTACTGAAGAGACATGAATAACGCTCCTGAAAGTAAGTACAAAATGTTACAAGATAGATGATGAATTGTCAGCACGTATTCAAAAATCAAAACATCTCGCCTGGCCCGAAGCAGTAAAAGACGAAAGGCAGGACCCAGCGGTCCCCGCACCCACCAGCCACTGAGCGTAGAGCGGTGGCGCGCTCTGGGCGGCGGAGTACGAGGCGTGGAGACCGAAAGCACCGCAACGCGTGAGCGCGGGCCAGATGGGCGTGACCGCTTTCCCGAAGCCCGCCACGCCCAGCGGCTGCCCCTTTAAGTAGCTTAGCCGCGGGCGGAGCCGGCTGGCGTTCACGTGACTCGGCGTCGCCGGCTCGCTCACGGAAGTGGTCTTACCTTCGCGTTCGGCGGGGGGTCTCCGGGCGCCCTGCGGGGCGGGCAGGCTGGGCCATCCAGCAGCCGGAGGTCGGGATGGTGCAGCTGTACAACCTTCACCCGTTCGGGTCACAGCAGGTGGTGCCCTGCAAGCTGGAGCCGGAGCGGTTCTGCGGCGGGGGGCGTGACGCGCTTTTCGTGGCGGCGGGCTGCAAGGTGGAGGCTTTCGCGGTGGCGGGCCAGGAGCTGTGCCAGCCGCGGTGCGCCTTCTCCACGCTGGGCCGGGTGCTGCGCCTGGCCTACAGCGAGGCGGGTGAGTAATCCGGAGAGCCAGGGGCCGCCTGGGGCCCGGCTTGGGGCCTCCTAGCTAGCGGACCGAGCGTCCGTGCTGCAGCTGTAGCTGGGGATGGGACTTCTTGCTTTCCGGAACTTGCCGGATGGTCTCCCTGGGTCTGGCATCTGATTGCTTGAAGTCGCATTGAGCTATGCGGTTGTCGCGGCAAGCATAGGTATGAGCTTGCTTCTGTCGGGGCGGAGACGCTGATATCTCCTCTTCGTTTTGGGTCTCCGCAGAAAGGCCTCTGGCTGGATTCCACTCATTTCGGATACTTAAGCAAACAACAACAAAAGACTCTTTAGTGCAAAGATTTCAAAGACTTACCCCCCTCCCAAAAAAAAAAAAGTAGGAAGAAGGAGACTGGTACTGTATCCTGAACCTCCAAGTACTCCCAGCTTTAACAATTATTCCAACTCACGGCCAGTCCTTTCACATCTGTACCTCCATCCACTTCCGGTCGGTTTTTGAAAGCTCACATTATGTGTTGATTTTTAAATCTGTGTAAATAGAACTCAAGTCTTAGATTGCGCCCCTTCTCTTCTCTTAACCAGCTGTGGCCGGGCGCAGTGGCTCACGCCTGTAATCCCAGCACTTTGGGAGGCCGAGGCGGGCGGATCACGAGGTCAGGAGTTCGGCCAGCCTGGCCAATTTAGTGAAACCCCGTCTTTACTGAAAATACAAAAATTAGCCGGGCGTGGTGGCGGGAGCCTGTAGTTTCAGCTACTGGGGAGGCTGAGACAGGAGAATCGCTAGAACCGGGGAGGCTGAGGTTGCAGTGAGCGGGGATTGCGCCCTTAGACTCCAGTGTAGGCGACAGAGCGAGACTCCGTCTCAAACAAACAAAAACAAAACAGTTGTAAGAGCAGCCATTACTCTTTCCCACCAGAAATGTAAAGCAATGCCAAGGAAATACTGTGTGGGTGAATCCTATTTTAGAAAAATCCAACATTTAAAACTAGATCCCTTTTAGGTCACAGAAGAATTTACCATAGAATTCCTTTAATACACTTACCTTCGATTCATACTTTACAAGATGGGTGTGAAGTTCGATATTTACGGTGCAAAAGCTGGTGGCTGTGGTATTAATGAAGCGGAGAGCTTGAACCTGGAAGACTGGAGATGTTTCTAATCCCTACCCTGCAGCTGGTTCGGTGTGAGTTTATAGAAACCGTGGGGTCTGAATTTATGTTAGAAAAAAAAAAAAAAAAAGTTGAATTAATAGATTAGTGATACCCAGACACTGAGATTTTGTGTGAGTGATATCCAGACACTGGGATTTTGTGGCTCAATTAAAAACTGTGGGGTTACCATACATAGCGTCTGACTGCTTATTTTGTCAAGACATATACAGGCATACCTTATTATTTTTGCATTTCACTTTGTTGTACTTTGCAGATACTGCGTTTTCTTTTTGGTTGTTGTTTGTTTGTTTTTTGTTTTTTTTACCAATTGAAAGTTTGTGGCAACCCTGTGTGGAGCAAATCTGCCAGTTCCATTTTTCACACTGCATGTGCTCGCTACATGTCTCTGAGTCACATTTTGGTAATTCTTGGCAGTATTTCAAACTTTATCATTATTATTATATCTGTTATGGTGATCAGCGATCTTTGATGTTACTATTGTAATAGTTTTGGGGTGCCATGAACTGTGCCCATATGAGATGGTGAACTTAATTGACATGTGTTGTGTGTGTTCTGATTACTGCTCTGATAGTCTCTGCCTCCTCAGGCTACTCTATTCCCTGAACAACAATATTGAAATCAGGCCAATTAATAACCCTACAATGTCTTCTAAGTGTTCAAGTGACACTTGGATGTCTCTCACTTTAAATTAAAAGCTAGAATGATTAAGCTTAGTGAGGAAGGCAGGCATGTCAGAAGCTGAGACAGGCTGCACGGTAGGCCTCTTGCACCAAACACTTAGCCAAGTTGTGACTGCAAAGCAAAAGCTCTTGAAATTAAATGTGTTACTCTAGTGAACACAAATGATTAGAAAGCCTTATTGCTGTTGGGAAAAAAACTTTGAGTGCTCTAGATAGAAGATCAAGCCAGCCAAAATACTCCCTTAAGCCCAGGCTTAATACAGAGCAAGGCCCTCTGTTCAATTCTGTGAAGGCTGAGAGAGGTGAGAAGCTGCAGAAGAAAAGTTTAAAGCTAGCAGAGTTCAGCTCATGAGGTTTAAGGGAAGAAGCTGTCTCCATAATATAAAAGTGCAAGGTGAAGCAGCAAGTGATGATGTAGAATCTGCAGCAAGTTATCCAGAAGTCTAGAAGATCCAGCTAAGATGATTTTATGGAGGCAGCTGTTCTAAACAACAGATTTTCAATGTAGACAAAACAGTCTTAAATTGGAAGAATATGCCATCTAGGAGTTTCTTGGCTAGAGAGGAGAAGATAATGCCTGGCTTCAAAGAACAGGCTGACTCTTGTTAGGGGGTGATGCAGCTGGTGACTAAATTGAGGCCAGTGCTCATTTACCATTCTGAAAATCATAGAGCCCTTTTAAAAATTATGCTAAATCTACTCTTCCTGTGCTTTAGAAATGAAACAAGCCTGGGTAACAGCACAGCTGTTACAGCATTGTTTAAGCCCACTGTTTTGATCTGCTCAGAAAACAGTATTCTTTTCGAAAGATTACTGCACATTGGCAATGCACCTAGTCCTTCAAGACCTCTGACGGAGATGTAGAAGGAGATTGATGTTGTTTTCATGCCTGCTAAGACAGCATCCATTCTGCAGCCCATGGATTAAGTAGTAATTTTGACTTTCAAGTCTCATTAAAGAAACACATTTGGTAAGGCTATAACTGCCACAGATAGTGATTCTTCTGATGGATCTGGGCAAAATAAATTGAAAACCGTCTGGAAAGAATTCACCCATTCTAGACGTCATTAAAAACATTCAGGGTTCATGGAAGGAGGTCAGATACCAACATTAACAAGAGTTTGGAAGTAGTCGATTCCAACCCTCATGGATGACTTTGAAAGGCTCAAGACTTAGGTGGATGAAATAACAGTAGATGTAGTGGAAATATCAAGAAAGGTAGAATTAGAAGTGGAGCCTGAAGATGTGATGGAATTCCTGCAATCTTATGATCAAACTTGAATGGATGAGGAGTTGCTTCTTATGGATAAACAAAGAAAGTGGTTTCTTGAGATGGAATCTGTTTCTATTGAGGATGCTGTGAACATTGTTGAAATGACAGCAAAGGATTTAGAATATTCCATAAACTTAGTTGATAAAGTAGTGACAAAGTTTGAAAAGACTGACTCCAATTTTGAAGTTCTACTGTGGGTAAAATGCTGTCAAATAGCATTGCATGCTACAGAGAAACCTTTTGCGAAAGGAAGAGTCATTTGATGGAGCAAACTTAATTGTTGTTTTTTTTATTTTATTTTATTATTTTTTTTTGAGACAGAGCTTCGCTCTTGTTGCCCAGGCTGGAGTGCAATGGTGTGATCTCAGCTCACCACAACTTCTACCTCCCGGGTTCAAGCAATTCCCAGCCTCAGCCCTCCAAGTAGCTGGGATTACAGGCATGCACCACCATGCCCGGCGAATTTTATATTTTTAGTAGAGATGGGGTTTCTCCACGGTTGGTCAGGCTGGTCTTGAACTCCCGACCTCAGGTAATCCACCCACCTCGGCCTCCCAAAGTGCTGGGATTACAGGTGTGAGCCACTCTGCACAGCCCATTGTTGTCTTATTTTAAGGATTTGCCACAGCCACCCCAGCCTCTGGTGACCACCGCCCTGATCAGTCAGCAGCCATCAGCATCGGGGCAAGACCGTTCACTAGCAAAAAGATTATGTCTCATTAAAGGCTTGGATGATCGTTAGCATTTTTTAGTGATAAAGTATTTTTAGTTAAGGTATCTACATTGCTTTGTTTTTTTTTTTTTTTTTTTTTTTTTTAAGGTATAATGCAATTTCATACCTAATAGACTATAATCTAGTACAAACATAACTTTTTTTATGTACTGGGAGGCCAAAAAATTTATGTGACTCTTTTTATTGTGTTACTTGCTTTATTGCAGTGGTCTGGAAACAGTCCTCCAATATCTCTGGGATATGCCTGTGTTTTTTTTAAAAAAATGAAAAGGCTTACTATTTATTGTCATTATTTATAAAAGAAAAAACACTTAGCATCAAACATTGGATATCTTTAGCTTTGTGAGCAACTTACTCTGCTGTCATTGGTTTTTTTGTTTTTGTTTTTGTTTTTGCCTAATGACAACATCAACAGGCCTGCACTGGGCCACGGACCTGTTTGAAAACCTCTCATTAACTCTTTAAGTTCCCTTTTAGCAGGAATACTCCAATTTTGGTATTTCTTATAAAATCTGTCTTTAATGGTCAGACCTGTTACAACATTGGTAGTTTTCTCTACGCCACCCCTTTTAAGGCATAACAGTTCTCACTTTCAAGAGTTCTATTGAGTAACAAACTCACCACTTTCAACTTTTGTGTGTGTGTGTGTGTGTGTGAGAGAGAGAGAGAGAGAGAGAGAGAAAGACAGAGACAAGCATACACACAGACAGATAGTATGTTTACATGATTTACTTCCTTCTTCCACGTGGATGTTTATTTTAGAATTTGGAGTGGCAGGTATTATGTAAACTTCTAGCTTTCTTGACTGAATCCTTGGATGGCCACTACCTATGCATACCAATCACTTGGGGAGTTTTTAAAAATCCCCATGCCTGGGCCACACCCTCAGAGATAACAGTAGTAGTTTCCCTGGAGTGAGGCCAGCACTGGGGTAAGTCAGATATTTAATCAGGATTGAGAACCACTGACCTAGAACAGTACTGACTACAAGAGGCCATGAGTAGTATTGTAACCTCATTAACGAGGCCTTGAAGAATAAATATGTTTTTATAAACATATTTGACTGCCTTAAAGCAAGTTCAAGAGTCATGTGGGATGGAATTAGCATCACGGGTCATGTGGCTCAAGGATAAGTTTCAGTCTACAGC